AATTCTGGAAAAAATTTAATTTGTTTCAAAATTATTCAAAAGTCGTTTGACTTTGATGTGAAGAAGAAATAAATAACAAAACATACGTTCATATAACAAGAGACAAACAGACACAGAGAAACGTATTAAAAAACACGTGAACACACACGTGAGCGCTCATATTTATTTACCTAAACACGAGATGTAATTTGATAGGCAAGCAGTAGGCATCGAGACGAAAATATCATTGGGGGTGCCATAACCTTATTGGTTGCGTGAGTCTGCTGCAGAAATATCTCTCAACTGTTGGTTGTTGCTGGTGTTGTTGTTGTTGATACTGTTGATGATATTTGGTTGTTGCTGTTGTTGCTTCTATTGTTGTTGGTAATGCTGATGTTGTTTTGTCGTTGTGTTCTCGATGTTGTTGTCGTCGTTGTTGATTTGTTGTTTCTACTGAACATTGCTTAACATGGAAGATTATTGAAAACAATTATATATGTGTGGGTATGTGTATAAATGTGTGTGTGAGTGTGTGTGTGTTTGTGTATGAGCAAACATACACACAAATTATTTGACGATGTTTGTGTTGATGAGGAGAGATAAGGCATGCGTACGTTGTCATAGAAACAGAAATGATGCTACTTTCGCTCATAAGCCGTCTACCTCGTCTTCGTATATCCACTCAATTAGGTTCGATTACAAGGAGTTGTTGTTTTGTTTGCTGGTGCTGGTGGTGGTTTTACATGCGTTGTATATATTATTTTTTTATTTATTTGTTTGTTTGTTTGTTCGTTCATTCGTTCGTTTGTTCGTTTGTTTTTTGGAAAGTTTGGGTTTTCTTATTGTTTGCTTGGTGGAGTTGTTAATTTTGCAGTAGAAAATTGTATGAATAATTTGGGATAATAATATTTTCGATGATGTTTGTGATGATGTTTGCGATGATTTTCTGATGATGTTTTTCGATAATTTGTAAATTGCTGCCTACATAAAAAAGTAAGAAGGCACCTAAAAAAGGTTTCCAAGCCCACCCGCGCATCGTAAAATTTAATTCATGTCTCAATAAAAACGCGCGTGATTTTTTTGACATTTTAAAAGTGCATATTTTCGTGTTCGTGTCTACAAAAAATTAAAACCTCAAACATGTTTATATTAAGTTTAGAAGTTTTTAAAAACAAATTATGTACTATTTAATCTCAATTAATGTTATCAACATTCAATTTTGTTTTTTTTTTCGTTAAATTGCACAACATTGTAGTACAACAATCGTTAAGGAACTTTTTTGTTTGTAAATTAAGTAATTTTACATAAGTTGCAAAGGTATGTACGATGTTCCCACTGATCTAAAAAGTGGTTGCGTATCTTGTTGCTGTTGATGTTGTCGCCATTGTAGAAGTAGTAATTGCTGTTTATAGCATTGCACAAGGTATTGTTGTTTATTGTGTTGGTACGGTAATGTTTGTAAGAAACGTTGAAGTTGTTGTTGTAAATTTGCGGTGGTGTCTTTCTTGGAAATAAAAATTGTTGGAGGACGTTGTTTTGTATGTAGATGTGAACACTTTGTGTTGCTGAAATTTTTGTAAAGATATGTTGGGTGAAAAAAAATTGTTGTTGGTAGTAGCATTGTGACTTGGTTATTGTCCCTTATTTCAAACTCACAGGCATTATATATTCAGAGTTACATTGAAAGATGCAATAGATGTTATAACAATAATAAAAAAAAAAGATGATAACAATAATGATAACAGCAACAACAATAACAACAACAGCAACAATGATAGTAGTAATAATAAACAAACTGTTTTTATTCGATGTGTTCCATGTAATTCTGCATTTTCTCGGATTGATGAAGGGTAGTGATTGCAAACGGATGCTGGTTTGGTTCAGGTGATTGGGGGGATGCCAAGGTGCTTGTCATTCTTTCATGGTTAACGTAATGGGGAACTCTATATGTTTTCATCATCAAATTATTCATCGCTTGTTGTTCTGAATTGTACTGAGCCAAAAATTGTATCTAACTGATGCAACTGAATAACTTTTCAAAATGACCATTCAGTCATTTAACTTTTATAGAATTTAATACCTTGAACGCAGTTTTTAATTGTAATTGTTTGCATATTTTGATTTTTTTTAACGTGAACAAAGAAAATAATTAAAATAAAATATTTTTTATCAGGTCCAGATGTTCGAGAGAAGTTGAGGAGGCAGAAACGTAATCATTACGCCACAACAAAAAATGAACGTCACAACAACACCTTCAAAATCAAAAACAACAATAAAAACAGCAGCAACAACAATAGCAGCAAAAACAACAACAGCAACAACATCGACAAAAACATCAATTACAATCGCCGAAAAAGTGCGAAACACAAATATTCCATTTACAGCAGGCCTGTCAGCCACATCAACAGCAGCAGCGTTAAAATGAACGACCAGAACCACAGCAATGATAATTACGCCAACAAAAATAATGACCACAATTTTAATGTAAATAACATTAATACTTTGGGCAGAATTAGCAATAAAAAACCGCAAACCAACTTGAACGATAGTCAAAATGATGATCCACTTCTAATATCATCATCATTATCATCCACTTCATCATCATCACCTTCTTCATCATCATCTGCATCATCGTCTTCTTCTTCAAACATCGAAGTTGTTCTTGGTAGTCCGGTCATCATCAAATGCTCCAAAAGTGATGAAGATGATTATGACGACAACGATGACGAGGATGACGATGTCGACGATGATGACGTCAGTGATGACGATGATGGCGTTGAAGATGAACATAAATCAAAGAAATACAAATCAAGTACGTAATGTCCCATGAATCATTGATCAGATTTTTTGTATTTTGTCCATTTGGAGTTGTGAGGCGCCGCTTGACCTCACAAACATTCATTTATCACGAAAGTTGCAACAGCAAAAAATTTTATTTAATTATTTTTTTATAAAACAGAATAATAAACAAAACAGGTCTTAAGAAAAAACTTTTTTCGGAAGATTCACGTGAAATTTTTTTTTAACTTTTGCCGGCGAATGTAATTGTCTCAACTTTAAGAATAAAATAATATTCACATGAACTGTTAATGAAGTTGTTCTTCAATGTTTTAAATATATCAACGCTAATGTAAAGACATTAACCATTCATTATCATCAAATCTTTCATCCTACCCATCTCAAATCGCTAAATGTTGTCTACTCAACTCTGAGGCACGGTCCACAACATAATTATAATTATATAAAGTAATCATCCTAACGTGGTTGCCCAACCTTCCAATAGACCATTTCAAAAACTAACCAAACAGTTCAACAAATTATTGTACATGTTCTCAGTTGTTCCTTAGACATGAGTTTTGTATTCCTAAACTTTGCGTAATCGAGTTTTTTGAAACAATGGTATAGGGTTCCAAAGCATTTCATCATATCGTTGTTAACATTACTGTTGGTGGATCCTGGATTTATTGGAGGTTGTTGCTAGAAGATTTTGGTCGCAATCTTTGGAATCATTAATATTTTATTTTTTTCTCTTAATTACTGTTATTTCCAACACACACACAAATTTATTTATATAAATTATATTTGACAGAAAACCGAAATTCCAATTTTTTAATCTTTTTCAAAAGTAACATAATTAAGAATGGGCATGGAACAAATTTCTCTCATTGTTTATCAAAGATCCTTTTTGTTTATTACTTCAATTATCAATGTTTTTGTTACCACTGATGGCTTTGACAAAAAAACTTTCAACACGACGCATCGAGAGTAATCTTACGATATTTTTCTCATTAATTTTTAAATCTCGTCATCATCTTATTCACGCTGTTGCATTTTGTTGGCTCGCTATATTTTCAAAAACATAAGCACAATTTTATTTTGGCACTTCATAATGTCTATCAATTTGTTTGTCTTTCGTATAACATGTGCTATATATCATCAGCCCCATTGTTACTTACTCTGGTAATATTTCAGAGCGATCTAGGCAGAGACACTTCACGTGGAACAAGGACTTTGCAGATTCAGCGCTAGACGACGGCGGAGGTCGGTACGAGATTGAGAAGGATGGGACGCTGCACATCAAGGAAGCCATCAGCTCCGACACTGGCTTCTATCGATGCCACGAGGAAGATAGGAATATCGTGTTGAGGACCGTCCGCCTCATGATTCAAGGTTCCCTACAAATGTTTCATTTCTTATGTTGTTTTGTGCTAAATAAGTGCTTGCTACAAATGAACTAATATGTTATTTTTTTAGTTGCAAGAATTTTATTTTGGAAAACATCGAAACTTTTTGCTAGGTTTTTTTTCATGTACAATATATATTTTATTTATATTGCTTTTATTTTGTGATTTACAAGGTTTTTGATTTTATAAAGTAGTGTGTGAGTTGTGTTCTATTTATTGCTAACATTTCTAATGTGTTCTGATAAAAATAGCAAAAATTTTGCAAAGTAAACTTTAAAAAAACCAGTTTATTGATTTTTTATTTTATTATTATTGATATTAATTCTGCATTTATGTTTAGCAAACTAAATTTCAGTATTTCTCAATCAATGTTGATTGACCGTTTAATTTTTTAGATCATTATTAGACTAATTGATTGATTGTCTAATTAACTGATTAAGTGACTTATTGGTTCATTGACATACTAATTGATTGATTGACTTATTGATTGATTGATTGATGGATTGACGGACTAATTAGTTGAGCAGTTGGTTTGTTGATTAAAAACTAGCACGTAGACGTCATTGAGGCACGAGGGTGAGTGATTTGATTGGTTAAGCATGTTGCTACAGCTGCCTCCAATTATGCAGTCGATTGATGCAACATTTCATAACGGACCAGCGACATCAATGCATCCAGTTATCACAATTTTAAATTGATTGATGTTGATTAAGATAGAACTTTTCGCTTCTATGTTGCCTGTTTCAAAAAATACAATGCCGGTTAAAAGTCGAAACATCCTGATTAATATTCAACGCAGAGAAACCAAAAATACATGAGAGTAGTTCTCGAAAGATTGTAATAAAGAGAGGGGAGTCAGTGGTGATGGAGTGCAGGGCTAATGGTTTCCCTGAACCGATCATAAAATGGAAGAAAAAGAATGGCCAGGTACCTTACGAAAGGTCAGCACGTCATTAAGATCTTTTTCTCTCTCTATCTCTCTTTCTCTCTCTCTCTCTCTCTCTCTCTCTCTCTCTCTCTCTCTCTCTCTCTATTTGCTTTTTTTTATGTATGGATGTTCACTTTATTAACACTTCTACATGATTTTTGTTAATAGTTTTTTTGCTTTTTAAATCTAAATCAAATTAATTGCATTAGTTGCATAAGGAAAATTTTGTTGTACATGTTGTAAAAATTGACACCACCAAATATTATTGCAGAACCTATTTTTAATTCCATCTTAAACTTAAAACTTACCATCAATATTTAGAAACATTGTCATTGTAACAATATGATGAACAGAACATTTTGTTTTAGCTATTAACTTGCAGGCATATTTGGAATATCAGAACGAATTAATATTTTAAAGTGTCCTTTTTCATGTCTAACAACTGCCCCCCAAGCAGAAGCAAGACGCTGGAGAACGGTTTGAGCATCTCCGACACCACCCCGGAAGATGAAGGCAGCTACATCTGCATAGCTGAAAACACCATTGGAAGAGATGAAATTGAAATCAACCTCTCCATACACGGTTCGTTGTTATAACATTTTCTCTGTACGGCTCTAACATACGATCACATGTTAATTGACATTTGACTATGTAGGGTGACTATTTCTGAAATTATTTAATTGTCAACGGGCTGCGTAATGTTCTGTCCCGTGATTGGTTGCGAATCAATTTAAATTTATCGTCAGGATGAATTGGCATTATCACATTCATCTTTTCTACTTTTTTCTTTTTATCTCTTTTTTGTCTCTTTTTTTTATCTCTCTTTCTTTCTTTCCGCTCTCTGCCTGTTGTTATCACATTAATGTGATGTTAAACTTTATCAGTTTTGTTAGTTCAATAATGAAGAAGTGGGATCTGTGTTACAATAATAACTGTATGTGCCAAGATTTATTGTGTGTGCGCGTGTGTGAGTGTGTGTGTGAGTGTGTGTGTAAGTGAGTGAGTGAGTGAGTGAGTGAGTGTGTGTGTGTGTGTGTGTGTGTGTGTGTGTGTGTGTGAGTGAGTGAGTGTGTAAGAGAGTGAGTGAGTGAGTGTGTGTGTGTGTGTGTGTGTGCAAGTGTGCGTGTAAGTGAGTGAGTGAGTGTGTGTGTGTGTGTGAGTGAGTGTGCGTGTGTGTGAAGATAATTTCGTTGTTGTTGTCGGCTCAGAAGTTTCTGTCATCGTCATGTCAGGTCTCATTCTCGCGGTTACCGACGAATTGTTGACATTTTGAAAGTGTCATTTAAAAATTACTTATAATAATAAGTGGACTAAAAACAAATTTTTTAATTTAGAAGCCTGACTTCTTAAAACTCCAAATAATATTTTCAAAAGGTCTGTGTGACAAAAGATAAAACGTGAATACTTTTGAGTGAATTTGTGTGAACATTTCAAGCAGAACGAAACATTTGCAGAGGTAGTCTTGCATATCTTGTTTGCACGAATTCAAAAGAGCAACAAACATTTTGTTTGAATGAACTCAAGAAATAAGGTGCAAAAATCTATATTTCAGATTTTATGGAAAGGGGAAAATATTTATAAATTTGTTGGCGAGTTTATATTTATAAATCAAACTAATTTTATAATTTTTTTTATAATTATAAATATAACTGCATAGTTTTTTCATATTTTTTCAAAATATTTGATAAATAAAGGAATAAAAAACTAGAAAACTTTGAACAAATGTACGAAAAACTTGTGCAAGGGGAAAGATTTATGAAGTATCTGAAACAATTAAAAGAACCAGCAATCAGGGAACGAAACAATTGAATGAAAATTCTAACCAAAACATTTCAGTTTACTCCGTTTCTAAACATAAGAAAGAAACCTCACCGACACACAAAAACATGCAAACACACACACCCACACACACAAGCAAACACACACACGCAAACACCCACACTTGCGCGCGAACGAAAATGTGTAGACACGGATAAAGAAATGGGGAAATGTTTGAATGTATGTAGAGTAGTAGGTTGACCAAGTTGAATGAAAATTGTCAGGAGACTTTGCAAGGGATTAATATGTCCGACGGACTCCACTCGTCGCGAAATTAAACGTTTATCATACAGTGGATTTTCTACCACTGAGTTTTTTGCCAAAACTATTTAAACCTCTGAGCTTTATAAAATTTTCGTGGGAGTTAATTGTAGGTAGATGTCACAAAATGTCATGCGATGTTTATGTTACGTTAAGCGTTTTTTCATTGAAATGAAAAAAAATTGCATATTGAAAAATGAATGTCTCATATAACAAAATATTTTTTTTTCAAATTGTAAGTAACTTTAAATGAAATGGAGTTAAATATAAAAATAAACATTTAGTGAAATAATAGACTGTGTGTAGATACTTAAAAAAATATTTGCTAGTGATATTTTTCATTTAATGGTAATTATCGTAATGTTACACGAGCACGCGTATTTTATAGATGTATGTAACGATGTAATTATTACTTTCAACTGCTTTCATTTGTGTTAGTAATAATCTCATCATTTGTTATAACCACCACTACAAATTTTCATCATGCCATAACGTGGCACAACACTTTCACTAACACACAGAAAACGTAAGAAGTCGTGTTCTGTGGTAAACCATTTCCTAGCAATCACGCTCGTGAGAAATTAAATTTGAAAAGATGCAATCATTACATCAAACTCAATTCAACAATGACACAAGACTCTGTCTTCCTCTTTGTTTGTGCCTGTCTCTCTTTCTTTTCATTTCTCACTTTTTTTCTCTATCTGTCTGTTTATCTATCTGTCTGTCTATCTATCGTCTTTTTGTCTATCAGGCTGTCTGTTTGTCTACCTGTCTCTCTGTTTGCCTATCTGTATGTCTATCTTTCTGTCCGTTTGTCTCGCTGTCTCCTGGTTTGCAACTGCGCAGTTGACAAAGTTTAGCGTGTCGTCATCACATCTTTTCCCACATCGGTACCTTACGCATGTTTTCTTCAATACTTTCCTGATAGTGCATGATTAGGTTGTAGGAATCCATTTTATTCAGAATCCAACGTTGGAATGAATGTTTTAAAACAAACACACAAATAAATATATGTGTGAATTTATACATGGATGGATGGATGGATGGATGAACAGACTGACGGACGGACGGATGGATGGATGTATGGTTGGATAGATGGATGGATGGATGTATGTATGGATGGATGTATAGATAGATGGATGGATGGATGGATAAATGAATGGATGGATGAACAAACAAGTATACTGATTTTTTAAAATGAGATTCAAACACTTGAACAGTGGCCTGTTGCTCTTCTTTGTCCAGCTTTGTATATATTTGTCTGTTTTGTTTGTAAGTACGCATGCATTAATACATCTATATTTATACGCTTAGCTCATACACACACAAACACACACGCACGCACACACACACACACAGGCACATACACATGCATTCTTCTTCATCTGCATTCAAATGCTCATCTACTGAAATTGTTCAGCTTGAGGGGCTTGAGTGAATGTCAGTAACGATGTTTGATTGCGCTTTTATAATTTTCCAGCTGTCATCAATGCATTATTCTCTTTCCTCAAAACATTTCTGTCCTATTATTAAAAATGGGAAATTATTTCCGATTCGTGTAGTGGACGGGCTGGCGTACGTGAGGAGACAATTACTTTCAAAATTAATGAATGTTGAAAGTAATAAATTAAAATGTTTGATCGTTGGAAAGATCGCGAGCCAAACGCACGAGTGCTAATTAAATGTTGAATAAGAGTCCTTCCCTCAGACTCATTCATCATGCTCATCAAATTACATACACCAATTCATCTGCAAAGATTTTGCAGAATTTTAAAAAAGCTTTTCAATAAGAAAATTTAATCATCACCTAAGAGCAAACTCCCAAACGAACGAATTTAAAAGTAAAAACTAAATGTATACATTCGCTCAAATCTCTAAACTAAATTAAAATGGGAAAATTCTGAATTGATGATGTTTCACCTAACAAATATGACATCGGTGTGTTCGAATAGGCGCCTTCTCGTACTGCAAGAATGGGAAGTTTCAACGTTGGCGGGTTCTCGAGTGAGCATACTTGCCTGCTTCTGTGTAGGTTTGCCAGGTTTCAGATAAGATTGCTTTTTGTGATAAGTCTGAAATCAATTATAATGCAAAAATCTTGCTCCGCACATGCGATTCAACTAGTATTGAAAATAAAATACAAAAAAATGAATACATTTCAAGTGTTTTGAAAAAAATTCGCAGATAAGTAATGTGATTAACATACACAGAAGTGAATTAGTTCTGTTTAAATTGAAAAAAACTTCAATTCCGTGAAATTAATTTAAGAATGAAATAAATTCTTCAAACAAATTTAATTGACTTTTAAATGAAACCGATGAAATCATGCAAACGCACAGTTCCTCCAGCGATGTTGATCACTCCCAAGAGCAAGATCATCAACGTTGGTCGCCGTGTGACCTTGGACTGCTTGGCTGAAGGTCGACCCACACCGGAAGTTTATTGGAGCAGGTTCAAAGATGAGGCAAGTTTTTTTTTAAATTTAAATTTATAACTTTTATGTAATTGTGCAATTTTTTATTATTTATTTATTTATATTGTCCATCCATCCTTCCATCCATTCATCCATCCATCCATCCATCCATCCATTCATCCATCCATCCATCCATCCATCCATCTATCCATTCATCCATCCATCCATCTATCTATCCATCCATCCATCCATCCAATCATCTGTTTATCCATCCTTCACCCATATATCAATCCATTCATCCATTAACCCATTGAACTAGTTCGTTCATCCATTTTTTCATTCATTTATTTGTCCATTCAGTCATTTATTTATTCAATCCATTCATCTATCTATCTATCATTTCATCCACCTTTCCTCTCCATGCAGCCACGCATCACCATGTTCTCCTCACACACGTACAGTCGCATGAGTGTCTCCAAGTATGGTGCACTCACTATCGACAGAGTAAATATTTCATTCCAGGAATGCCCAATAAATTTTTTAATCATTTTCTCTATTAATTTTTAATTATGTAATAACTTTACTTTGTTGTAGTTGAATCATTTTTGTGAAAATATTTTACAGTGAAATTTATTTTGATTTATAAAAATTCTTGATTGAATTGTTGATTGAATTGTTGTATGAATTGTTGATTGACAATTTGGATTAAATTGTTGTATGAATTGTTGACTGACACTCTTGATTGAATTGTTGTATGAATAGTTGGTTAACACTCTTGATTGTTAGGTCGAGAAGTCCGATGCAGATGTTTACACCTGCCATGCAGTCAGTGCCTCCGGATCAACAAATGCATCTGCCAAATTAGAAGTCAAAGGTGAATGTTACTTGTTACTTACTTACTCTTATTTGTTGCTCATTTACTGTTACTTGTTAGCTGCTACTTAAAATGGCATAACTGAAATTATAACATGAAGTAAAAACCGATAAGCTGTTATTTGCTGCATGTTAGCAGTAGTTTATTAGCTGTTACTTGTTAGTTATAACTTTCAGACTTCAATAACTTGTCGATCGTGACATTTGTTGGTTATGTTGCTTGCATGATTGTAAAGACATCTCTGCAGTTCTTAAGCACCTTTATCCTCATTCATTCTTTAATTGTTGATGTGAAAGTCTCTGGATTTTTGTATTTAGTATCAAACGTATTAGTGGTTAAGTAACCGTAGATAGTAGAACATTTGGTAGGTACCCAAACGCATTTGTATGCATTTTATGTACTGTTGTGCCTCTGCTTTGAATGACCAACAGACGTAAGAGTAGGGATGGGCAAAAGTTAACTAAAAAGTTTAACTTTTTAGTTTGACTAAAAAAATGTAATTTAGGTTAAAGTTTAACTAAATAATAAAATTAGGTTAAAATAAAAGTTCAACTCATTTTTTTTAGTTTAATTTAACTACTTTGAAAAAGTTATAAAAACTTATTAGTTAAATTGTCTTTTTTAGTTCAAACTAAGTTATAGTTTAACTGAAAAAAGAGAGAGATAGATAGATAGAGAGAAAGAGAGAGAGAGAGAGAGAGAGAGAGAGAGAAAGAGAGAGAGAGTCTGAGAAGCTCGGAGATTATTGCACATAAGCTATGATTGATCGTCTATTAAAGTTTCAGTCTCAACCATGCGTCTTTGGATTTCTTTAAATTAAATTTAATCATTCCATAAAGTATTTTTTTCCGTTACGAATTTTGTTTATTTGTTGTTGTTTTTTTAAATATTTACATAATTAAATGTAAATTCTTTATTTCCTTTGTTTATTATTCACCCGACTACTTTAATACATACACATACACACGAATACATACATACACACACCCACATATACGCACAAACATAGATACATACACACACATACATACAAACAAACAAACAAACATGCACACATACATAAACACATACATAGATACATGCATCCATACATCCATCATCTCCCGATCAGTCAGTTATTAATTATTCCCATCTACATCCCTCACATCAAGTATTTTTCATTTGCGTTATTTTCTGTCAGCGTTAATTATAAGATGCGCACACAATGTTTTTATTCACATGTAAATATCCATTACGCTCCCGTGATTCTCTTCTTCAAAATTCACGTGTGTAGATTTGCGATTGCGCCGTTATTCCTATCGATGCTATAATGATGTGTGCGTGTGCGTGCCTGTGTTTGTCTTCACGTATACCTGCGTGTGTATGTATGTATGTATGTGTGCGTACGTCTGTGCGTTCGGTTATCTACATCAAAGTTTGTTACTAATGAATGCAAGTTGATGTCCAACCACTGCAAATTATTTTGGTACGTCAACATCTTTAATTAACAAAAGCGTACAACATAAATATGTTCAGATGATAAAATGTACTTCAGCGTGTGTCTTGTACACGCACCTCAGATATCCAGTCACACATGTATAATGTACAACGCAGTCTACACAACACAACACAGATCCGTTCATCTGTTCACGTGCATTTCACGAACGAACAAAATTTCATCAGACGTAATCCGGCATGTCAGTGTCGCAAACAGATTTTTTTACATCTATTTTATATATAGATAAATAACAAGTGTATATAGATATGTGTATGTGTGTATGTGTATGTGTGTGTGTGTGTGTGTGTGTGTGTGTGTGTGTGTGTGTGGTGTGTGTAAGCTAGTGTTTTCATAAGTGCTATTGTATGATGAATCTTTATGATTGTGTGTGTGTATATCCGTACGTATGTGTATTTGTTTGCCCGTAAATAAATCTGTTCGCACAGTAATATGCTTCTTTTGTACGGAAAGTAACACAAGAAAATTATTTATAATTCAGTAAATCTCAAATCTCTGCTGGATGGTCTACACATCAGTTTCTGTTTTATATCTGGTTGCCACACATTTTTTAATCGTATCTTTGCAAGAATCTTTAGAAACAGAAATGTTTTCAAAATAATTTGATTGAGTATGCTAGAGTTGATGTAAGGCTGATTGCCTGTGTAGTACATCATTCAGTTGTAGAAATTTGTGTCAAGAAGACGTTTATAAAGAGCGGCTATCAAAGACAAAAAATTTGTTTAAAAATATGTTCAGCTTGGGCTAAAATCTAATTACCACAGAGCTGACTAAAATGAAATTGAATGAAGTTATTGAAAACATCGAAGCGTTCAAGCAATGCACTGGTATAGATTTGATTTAGAAACCCAGCAGAAGCCTACCTCCCTCACCTAATCAATCGCGTTATTTATCTTTCGCGTTTCGCTGGCCAACTAAGCCCGATCCTTTAAAAGGCTCCACCGAATGTTTTCATCTTACAGTTCCAGCTTATGAATTCGCCACATGTGACGATAATGATGACGTGAATGATAGTGATGATTAATGAGTATGAAGATGATGATGAGAGGACCCTGATGTAGACAGGTTATCACTCTGATGAATTTGTAAGGATATTCATGGTTTATTAGAAATAATTATAATAATGCAAATAAGATTGATACAAATTATGCAAAATGTATCGCAGATTTACCATGCTTACTCGTGGCGTTATAACTAATACTGATTTTATTACGAAACATTTTATTTTACATATGGGATTTAAACATTTTCAATGTAACTTTGAAACCAGTAAAAAATTGTATGTTTAAAATTCTTGTTAAAATCTTTCAATAAAATAATAACCTACTAGGAATGTATCTGGTGCTAATAACCCGCTGTTTATAAATCTATCATTATAAATCAACCATTAAACAATATAATCATTGTCTACTATAATTTGCAGATGACAAAACATTTAAAAATATTTGTTGAGTGATGAGATAAGCACAACTTAGATTGATAACAATGGTGTCATAATTTTTTGGGTTTCATCATAAAATTCAATAACTTTAAAATGAATCAGTAACATGTGCGGGTGCGAAGCTGGCTGGAAATGTTACTTGCCAGTTTCAATGAAGATGAATTTTTGGGAATCTTCTTGCAAATCGTGAAGCATTGTAGTCATTTGTTCATCTGATGGCAGAGTGTGTGAGAACGTTAATCGTTACTATGGATACATTTTAAGATCGAGGTATAGCAAATAACAAAACTTTGGAAATTTTACCCCAATGCTTTACTTGTGTTGAGGCTTGAAATACATCTTCGTATTCATACATACAAACGTGTTTTTGTATTATACAAAAATATATACACCAGCATACAGCCAGGATGTATGCGTACTGACCCAAGCTTGGAAGTGATGCTTGTCTTCGACTAACTTGAATATACGACCATTCTCACACACAGACGCTGCTACTCTTAAGTATAATTGATGTCACCATGCCTCCATATGTATGTATGTATGTTCGCCCTTTCTGAATGCGTCTGTATGAATGTATGTCCTGGCACTTCTCTTTCTCTTTTGCAGTACCGTTTTATATTTAAAAACACTACCCATATTTTGCAAATTTTTTAAAAACTAATTTTCATTTGGCCTAAGACAGAACATTGTTTGGTTTAATTTTTCAACTGTTGTTCATTTGAAGAAGTGGGTACACTTGAAGTTTTTGAGTTGAAATTATTCTGGCTAGAATGGTTTGTGTTCATATTTCAATATTATTGGAACATTTGTTTATAAATTTCATGTTTAATAATTTTCAAAGTTTTTTGCCTCAAGTTTATAAAATAATTGAGACATTAGCTTCATGTAATCCTGAATGATTTCTTTTTTCCTGTTTCTATTTAAAAATTAAACTAATTTCATAACCAGGGCCGGCCTTGGGGATGGGTGTAACTGAGGGCGCCAAGTGCTGTCTCCAAAATAAACACTAAATATTTTTTTAATAAAAATAAGTTGAAAATAAATTTAATTAAACTTATATCCAATTTTATCATAAATTGTTTTTTTATGGAAATTAAGTTATTTTTCATTCAAATAGTTTGTTAAAAATACTTTAATCAAAAAAAATATGCTTCAACTACCATACATGAAACTGATACCAAAACTTCTGATATTGCGCACGAAGCACTTACATTAAGTGAGCAATTAAATAATTGTAGTTTTCTAATCACTTTGATTGCATGGTGCAATGTACTATGTTAAGTAAACGTTGTTAGTAAAGCGATGCAGGCCTAGGACATGGATCTGGTACAGTGCACTGAAAGCTTCAAAAATGTATTAAATATTTAGAAATTCGCAGAATGTTTGGCTTTAAACCAATGAAGAGGGTGCGAGGAGTGAAACGTCATTTAGACAAAAATGCTACTGACGAACTAATTCCAGAACCAATTTTCAGGATCCAGAGAAGAAACATGAAGTAAAAATTGTTTAACCCCTTTTTAGACACGTGCCTGTCATCAATGAAAGGACGATTTGAACAATTGGATGAATGTGCAAATACATTGGTCTTTTTTTATTTTTTTATTAAGTATGAACTTTTGAAATTGTGTAAAGAATTGCAAGAAAAATTAACTGTTTGTTCAAAGTCTAATATTGGTGGCGCCTTTCTATGTGACGAACTAATAAGTGTTAAGATTTTCATTAAAAATAAAATGGGTGAAGTGAAAGTTGAAAAAGTAGAAAAATTGCATTGAATACATCCTTCATTGAATTGAATTTTATTATCAAACATTCTTTACAAGAGTTATATCCAAATGCCTGGATTGATCTGCGCATTCTTCTTACAATACATTTAACTGTTGTAATTATTGCAAGAGGGTAGCGTAGCTTTTCTGTTATGAAATTCATCTAGTAGTGTTGCATTGCTTATTTATATACTTGTTTTCATAAAAACACATTTTTTAAAAATTCACTTTTACACTTAGGTTAAAAATTAATTAAAAAATCTCTCTAGCAAATATATATCTACAATTTTTTCGTATTGGC